TGAAATTCTGATGCTTTGATTCTAATCTCAAACCTTTTTGTGGCTAGTTTCATGGAACAAAACCAAACTTTTCAACAAAGGTATCCCTGCTTATAGGATCAAACATAGATAGCTTAACCAACAAAACAATTCTGACATTCTCACAGATGTTGGTCTGGTGTTCCAAGCGCATCCCGGGATCCAAAGACCTTTGTGTGTTCTGCCCAGGAGCACACAGGGTGTGGTAGGGAGAATTCTAGCACTGGGACTGAAAGAGAGATGACACAAGGCACCAAAGCATAAACCTGGGGACAGAAATAGATCCCAGGGGATCCCTGAACTACTGTGGGTGAAAGAAGAGGAGCCATCTCACATCTCTGTCACTCACTACATAGTTCAGGGTCACAGATACAAAGTAGAAATAAACAGTCACAGTCACGGGACCCAGATGTGTACTGAGTAAGAAACAAGTTTTGGAAGCAAACTATACCTGTATAGCTCTGATCCCAGAGCAGGGACTCAGCTCTACCCTCCATCCCAGAGTGGAATCTTGTAGAGGAATCAGAGAAGGAGTCTCAGACCAAAGGTGAGCCTGACATTTAGTCGTTCTGAATGTGCAGAGCCTCCAGTGGGCTCCAGTGGCCCAACCTTGGGTCAAGAACTCACAGAGCTCAGAGCAGAAGGGCAGTGAGTTTTGCCCCAGAACATACAGCTTTGGAAGCACTGAAAGCTTTCAGGCCCCCAGCCTAAGCTATGAAAGCCAAAAAAGGACATAATAGGACAGAAACTCAGGTCAAACATTCCCCCCGCCCCAGAAGTCTACAGAGTCCAGCACTAATATAAAGTCCAAAGTCAAGATGTAGGCTGGAAGAATGAGTAAATAAACAAACAAACAAAAAGAATTCCACCATGAAGAGCTATTATGGTAACAGAGAAACTTAAGACACAAACTCAGAAGAAGAAAATGACTCCAAAACATTTACAAGCAAAACCTCAAAGAAAAATGCATCTTGGGCACACGTCCAACAATGACTCCTAGAAGTTAAATAAACAGCTTTTTTTAAAAAAAAGGAGCTAAAAATTATTTTAAAAACCAACTGATAGTGGAAGAGGAAAAGATGGAAAAATAAAGGACTAAGGAAAATAGATATAAAAAATTAACAGCTTGGAAAAAGAAGTTAAAAAAACCTACTAAAAAACTCCTTGAAAACTGGAATTAACAAAATGGAAACCAATGACTCCATGGGACATGCAAAAGTAATAAAATGAAGTCAAAATATTGAAGGAAATATTGAAATATTTTATAAGAAAAACAATTAAGCTGGACAATAGCTCAAGAAAAAATAACTTAAGAATCATTAAACTATCTGAAAGCAATGAACAACAACAACAACAGAGCCTAGATATCGTATTTCAAGAAATCATAAAAGAAAACTGCCCAGATACCTTACAACATGAGGGTAAAGTAGAAATGGGAAGAATTCACCGGTCCTCTACTGGAAGAAATCTCAAAATGAAAATTCCTAGGAATATTATAGCCAAAATTCAGAACTCCCAGGTAAAGAAAAAAATACTGCAAGTATCCAGAAAAAAAAGAATTCAAGTTCTGAGGAGTCCCGATCAAGATCACATGATATTAGCAGTCACCACTCTAAGGAAGCAGAGAAGCTGGAATTTAATATTATAGTAGGCAAATAATGTAGGTTTACAATCAAGAACAATTTACCCAGCAAAGCTGAATATAATCCCATGGGGGAAGGAATGGATCTTTAGTGAAATAGAAGACTTCCAAGAATTCCTGATGAAAAGAGCAGAGCTTAGTAGAAAATTTGACATATGAACACAGGAGCCAAAGAGCAGCATAAAAAGGTAAATAGGAGTGAGCAATCATAAGGAATTGAAACAAGATTAAACTGTTTACACGTAATTTCTCAGAACTTTATTATCAGCTGGGGGTCATAGAAGGAATACAATTAGAAGGCTCAGGAGTGATTCTATTATGCTTTGATGATTAGAAAAAGAATAGGAGGAAGTATGAGGAAGAGGAATACACTTGGGGGAGGAAGAACTGAGGGAATTATCTCATATAAATGTGGTAAACAACTAGAAGTAGAAGTAGGGAGAGGAGGAGACAAGGAAGTAGGACCTTAACAAGGGAGTAGGATTTAAACCTCACTCTCATCTGAACTGGATAAAGTAAGGAAGAAAACACATATACAAACACACATCTGGGTGCAGAAATACATCATACTAAATAGGGAAATAAGGCAGAAAAGAGTGGAGGAAAAGGGGAGGAGTAAGGGAGAAGGTAGATGAAGGGATAGCTAAATGAGAGGCATAGCAGATCTTTAATTAAGTGGATCGTACTGATGGATTCATTAGACTGTGAGGTCCGTGAGAACAGTCTTTTTCCAATTTTTGGATCCCCATAGCTTAGCACTGTACTTAATAAATTATAGGCACTTAATAAATATTTATTGACTGGGTGACCACAAATACCAACCTCCCTCTGGTAGCAACTTCCTACCTTGCAAGTATAATGCCAGTGTGACCCTAGACAAGTCAATTGCTCTCTCTAGGACTCAGTTTCCTCATCTGTAAAAGAATGGGTTAGACTTAGTGACCATCAAAGTCCTTGCTAGCTCTGAATTCTATCATCCTGTGAGGAGCTGACTTAGGTCTGCCGCTCTTCCAAACTGAAGTAGATGGTCTCCATGTTCCCTTCCAGCTATGATCCTATATGATATCAGATCTCTGATATCACATCTTGGCAGGTTCCAAGATATTACCATACCAACTCTCACTGACTTTACTTCTCTTAAAAGTCACAGTGCTATAGACCAGTGTAATTAGAACAGACTGAAGGGTATCCCCTAGGTTCTGTCAAGTAAGTAAATTATATCCCTGTCCTGCTAAGCAGTATTCCCAGGCCCTCTGTTGCTCAGGAAAGCAGCCAAGACGGGATCAAAGACACACAGATGTTACAAGCTGGCCAGATTGTCAGACAAAGTGGTACAACACCCTCATGCTCAAATACATGCATTTGTCATCAAACTTTTATTGAATGTGTAGATGAAAGGCACTATGCTAGTCACTGCACAAGGAACCCCTAGATAACTATCTGGTCCACACAGAGCCTGTAGTCTATTTGAGGCAATCTGCAACAATGAAAAATTCACCGGTCTTCAAATCAGGGAACCTGGACTCCTGTCCTGGCCCAAACAAGGATAAAAAGCAAAGGGGTGTAACTCTGGATGAGGCAGTTTTCTTACCTGTAAAATGGGAATAACAATCTTGTCTCTGCCATACTCAGCTGCTATGAGGTAGGTAACCTGAGGAAAGAGCTTTGTAAACCATGAAGCATGATCTATAGAAATGTGAATTGCTGTAAAATAACAATATCATTGCTATGGTGCATCCCCAGTCCGCCAATGCAGAAAAGCAAGAGCCCTGAAATTTATGATCTTGGAGAATTGCTGCTTTGGATCACAGCTCCAGACTAAAAAGATAGGCATGCATAGAGCTGTCCTAAGCAGTCAACAAATACTAGTGACCGATATAGAAATTTCAAATGTCGTTCAAATGTCATATCCAACTCTTTGTGAACGCATTTGGGCTTTTCTTGGCAAAAGTACTAGAGTGGTTTGCTATTTCTTTCTCCAGCTCATTTTACAGACTAGGAAACTGAGACAAACAGGGTTAAGTGACTTGCCCAGAGTCACACAGCTAGTAAGTATCTGAAGCCAGATTTGAACTCAGGAGGATGAGTCCTCCTGACTTCAGGTCCAACACTCTATCCACTACACTACCTAGCTGTTTTATAGAGATCTCCGACATCTCCTCACTTACCACTTAGCTATGCAGTTATCCCTTCCAGATTGTGGGGGTTAAGGGAGTGACACAGGCATGATCTAGAAAATCCATGTAAAATTTTTGGCTCTCTTCGTACCAGAGAAGTCTGATTATTTTTTCTTTTTCTTTTGGGTTAAGTATTTGGTCATAGGCTCAGTGTTGTCTTCTGGCCTTCACATATCATCTACAGCTTCCACAAAACTCCCCTAAAATTCCCATTTAATTTCTTAGGCCCACCCACAATATATTGAACCATGATGGGGAAAGTCACAATGTGGAAGGGATGGCAGCACTCATTTTGGATTTCTTTGACTTCTCCACCATGCCCCCAGTAAACTCATTGGATAATCTCACCACCTTGCCAGATCCAATCAGCCTTGGTCCTCATACTTCATTAGTTCCTTCTGCCCCTCTGAATGGAGGGTAGGGCCCTGACCTTCTCAGCTTCCACTGAAGGAGGGGAGGAAGCAGAGACATCTTCTCAGATATCTGCTCATGCTTCCCATGGCCTTACTGTGCTTGGACCTCTGCTCATTTTGGATTCCTTTGACTCTTCCATTGCCCTGGCTCGGGTACCTCCGTCTACCTTTCTGTCTTTCTTTTTCTTATTTGCATCTTCAGCACTTAGCGCAATGCCTGGCACATAGCTGGTGCTTAATAAATGTTTATTGAGTGGCTGACTGATATTAATTCGGCAGTCAGAGGCAGGCCAGGGGGAGGCAAGGTGTGCACCCACAGAGAACACAAAATGGGGGGTGAAGGGAGATGGGCGGTGAAATATGGTTTTTAATATGAACTTTTATAAACATACATATACACACATATGTGTGTGTGCATATATATGTTAGTCCCTGCTTTTATTTTTTTCTATTATATATATTCTTTTTAATATTTAATAAAGCTATCATGTAACCTATCTATTCTTAATGCCAGGAAATTCCACTCCCTATGGCCGTTAGGCATGTATTTTGTGATGTCAAGTCATATTGGTTACAGTGTTACAAATCCCCTGATGGGTACAATAAGACGCTGGGACCCATTTATCAAATGGAGCATTTCACTCCCCCCTCAAAATTTTCAAACCTGGCCAATCCAATCCAACAAGCATCTATTAAATGCCTGTGGTGGGCAAAGCACTGGGGATACAAAGACAGAATGAAAAACGTTACCTGTCTCCAAGGAGCTTCCATTATGATGGGCAAAAGGATGCAACAAATGCCTCCTCCTGGGTCTGCAGGCAACCAAATGAATGTTCTAAGTTTTTAAGAGTGGGAAGAGAGTACTGAGTATAATACTCATTGAGGCTGAAAGGATTAAGTTGGTTCTTGGAGGAGAGAATAAGAAGGAAGTTTCAGAGTGGGGGCAGTGAGTAACAAAAGCAGATTCTGGCGGCAGGACAGTGAGTGGAGCAGTCTGGCCAAAGGAGCTGTACACGTCAGAGGAAGAGATAAGGCTGGAAAGGGCACAGATTGTCCCTAGTCTAGAAAGAAGAGCTATCACTATTGGCTACTTTGCTAACCCTCTCGGCCCAAGTACTACTTTCTTAAGACTCTTTGCCACAAATCCTTTGGATTTACTTTCTATTTTTTTCTTTTGTTAAGCTATCTCTCATCCTGTCTCCAATAAATGGAAATACCTTTATTGACATCTTCCTCCTAATGTCTCATTGCAGTATGAGTTCTGATAGGATCTAGCAAGTTGGGAAAGTTTCAAGTATGGACCCAGTAATAGACTCTGACATCTTAGTTAAGTCCAGAGAGAATGATCTGATGTATATATGTTTATGTAGACACACAAACATGTATATATATATAACCTAACATAATAGGTTATATATAAAACACATATAAACATATAGTTATAAGGTATATCTGGACTGTATATATAATATACATTACATGTGCACTAATGTGTGTATATATTTATGCCTACATATATGTGTTGTACACACATATAAATATGTTATACATAACACACATATAGTTACAAGGCATATTTGCACTATGCATGTATATATGCATACTATGCATTGCATATGTATGCATAGCATATATGTATACACATGTATATAACATACATATCTATAGAACATGTGGGGTTGTGTGTGCATACATGCAGGTACACATTACATATGCATGTGTGTATGTATGTATGTATCTATCTATAGAGCATAGCAACTCAAAGCCATCTCCTGTAGCATGGAATGGACACAATCCGCATCAGTGAAGGGAGAATCCATTAATAAAAATCATGCAACTTTTAAACTACTGAATACAAATCTTAAATTATAGAGAAGTTGGATTGGGAGGCAGCATGGCACAGGGGAAAGAGAAATAGGTCTGGAGTCAAATTTCACATCATCTACTTACTACTTGCATGACCTAGGCAAGCCATGTCACTTCTCTGGGCCTCAGTTTCCTCTTCTGAAAAATGAAGGAGTTAGATTTGATGGCACCTAAGGTCCCTTCTCACTGTAAATCTGTGATCCTATGAAAATGGAATGAGCTGCCTGGTAAAGTAGTAGGTTCCTTATCTCTGGAGGTCTTCAAATTCAACCTGGAAGACCAGTCAATGGGGATGTTATAAAGGTATTTCTTAGTCAAGGTCTTTTCAGCTCCAACAGTCTATAATTCCATTTCCTCTAAGGATGAGAACCACGACTTCCTTTGTGACCGCATATCCAGCCAAGGTTAGCCTGTTTCCCAAATGGCCACTTCCTCATTCGCACACAGATAGGTATCTTTTGCATTACAGTCAGTTCTTTGAACTTGATCAGAAGAAATTGATTTGGTGCTTGAAAACAGATCAGGACTTTATTAAATGCTGGAGGGAGGGAAGAGTCTGGCAAGGACTGGACCAAGTCTACTCTGAGAAAGCTACTGGATTATGATTGAATTAAATTGTCCTTTAGTACATTAAGTACAACAGTTTAGTACAATTTTGTATTTCTCCCTAGAAAGGCTAACCCTGGAGAAGAATTGACTTGAACACTGAGTCAGAAGGGACACAATCAGATCTGCAGTTTTACTTGTTAGTGATTCTCCTTACTTTGGAATTCTCTTTATTGGAGAAATCATGAGCTCAGTTTTGCCCTTTGGGAGTAGGCCAAAGTTAATCACGACTCCCTTTACCTTCTCCTGGAGTCTTCACCTACCCAGGAGGGGAATGATCCCCCTCCTACTGAAAGCCTGCAATGTGACTGGCAGAGTAAATGATACTACACACAAGACAACAATGTGAGGGAGTTCTTCCTGCCAGAGACCACTGTCCTTGGTCTTTTTCTTGTGATCCTCCTTGATCCATATCACCTAGGGGAAAAACTGTCCCCATTACCATTACAGGGTCCCAGCTCCATGAAACCTCTCTCCTAGTCTAATACTTCTCCATCCTCCCAGGAGATCAAGGGTCAAATTCTCTTCTCCCATTGCCGCTGTACCCACGGTTGGATTGCCTTCCATACCCACCACCAGCAACAATAACAACAATGTTTGCCTCAGGTAAAATACTTCCTAGTCATCAGAGTCCCAGTCTAACCTTAAGCTTGAAGAAGAGGAATACAAGATTAAATTCCCTTGCCTCCTTTGGAGGGCAGTGAGGCCCTTCAAATACTAGCCTCTCCCAACAAGGCTTTACTTCTTTATTAGGCTGTAAGTCTTAAATGCACAAAGGTGCCAAAGCAGGGCTTAATAAGAGTTAACTTTTATATGCCACTTTAAGGTTTGCAAAGCACTTTACAAATATTGTCTCATTTTAACCATCTCAGTAGTTCTGAGAGTTAGGTACTACTATTATCCTTATTTTACAGATGAGGAAACTGAGACAGACAGTGGTTAAATAAATTGTGCAGGGTCACACCAGCTGACTCCAGGTCCAGCACTCTATCCGCTGCGCCACCTAACTGCCGTACAACTGGACAACTTGGCCCAGAAGAGAGCCATGTCCAAAGCAAAATGAATTTGCGGAAAATTCCACATTTTTCCACTTGCTCCATAAAGTCTTAACTGAAGACACCAACTAGAAGTAACAACAATGACAGTGATAATAATGATAGTAATAACAATGATAGTCATTACTATTGTTACTAAGATATGATCAGGTGGCCAGAATTATAACCAGAAGCTCATTAGCTTTCATAAATTAACAGATGACAAATCCCCATGTCACAAATACAGACTCCAAAATATCCTTAAGAATTCAAGCAACAAATTATATTGGAACCAGAGAAAGATCAAGGACAAAACTTGTTGCCCCCAATCACCTGTATATAACATTGATCTATAAAATTTTAAGGACGAATTTTAATAGATGTTGCTATACTACACACTCATACTCTCTAAACTACATGATATGGAAAGCTTGCAAAATATAGAGAGTGAGCAGAGGAAATCAAAATCTTGTATAAAGTACTTATCATGCCCATTGTTCTGTCTGCTAATGGAGTCATCCTAAGACACGTTCAGTGAACCTTAGGAAGATGAGCTTCCATCCAGCTATTTTAATTCAATTTAAAAGCAATTATCCAATCCACCTGGGCAGTAGTCCTCAGAAAATTGGATATAAAAGAATAAGATATTCTTTTATACTTTGTATTTCATGGGAAATACAAAAGCAAGATAGTAGAACTATTTCATTCTGCTCTCCATCAAAAAAAAAGATGAGAAAATGAGATAATCATAATAATTAACAATAATAACTGGATTTTGTTTATTGCCTTTAAGTTTTGTTAAATACTTTACCACATTATCTTACTGGAACTTTTTAACAACACTAAGGCATAGGTTTTGGGGCTATGATAACCCCCATTTTACACATAAGAAAACTGAGGCTTAGAGGGGTTTAGTGAGGTTTATTTGCAGCTAGTGTCAGAGGTGGGATCTGAATCTAGGTTTTTCTAACTCCAAGTAATTTCTCCCTGCTATGATATCTCATAGTACTTAGGTTTAAAGCTGGAAGTGATGTTGGAGGCTATCTAACTCTCTCCCCAGCCCCCAGCCCCCATTATGAAGGTGATTAAATAGGTCCAGAGAAATAGATGCCTTTACCAAGGTCACAAACACCTGGAAAAACCAGGATTTAAGCCCAGATCTAAACTCTAGATCAAAATCCATCACTCTTTTCTCTGTAACATACTACTTTTTTCTCATATTCTTATTTCTTTCTGGGTTTAGATCATAGCTTTGATACTTACTAGAGAAGTAATTAATCTCTTTCAACCTCAGTTTCCTCATCTGTCAAATGGGAGCAATAATATGCTATGTAACTCATAGGGTTGCTATGAGAAATGTTTTTTGTGAACTTCTAAGGACTATAGAAGTTATTATTATTCCTAGAATTATAGATTTAGAGCTGGGAGGGACCTCAGGAGACATTAAGTCTAATCCCATTTTACAGAAAAGGAAACTGAGACATGGACAGGATAAATGACTTGCTCCACATCACATAGGCAGTTAAATGTCTGAGATGAGAATTTAACCTAGGTCTTCCTTACTCCAAGTATGGTGAATACCCTTTGCATCCCTCCCTTTGTATTATGATCATTTACATGTCTTAACTACTAGTGCATAAACTTCTTCAAGGCAGAAACTATGTCATAGTCATTTTCATATCCTTCTAAATGTAGCCCAGGGCCTTGCACATGGTAGATGCATAATTTTTTAATGGAAGCATATTTAATTTAAAAATCAACATTGTCTCACTGAGGTAATAACCTTCTAACTTTCTAACAATTCAAGTGACTCTTTTCTGTTCCCCTGATCAATACCTCATATCACTGAGTATTAAAGAAGGATGGAAAATTCTCATTCAGTTGGATAGGAATTATGTAGCAATTAGAAACAGCATTGAAAAAAAAGTTCCAGTTTCTAGTTCTGGTCTACCATTAGTTATATGATCTTGTGCAAAACTCTTTTCTCCTCTAGGTCCTCTGCAAAATGAGAGGGCACAACTAGATTGTCTCTCCAGAGCCATCCAGATCTAATGATCAGTCAACGTTTGACTGAGTCTGCCAATAACTTGCCATGTGACTTTGGGTATGTCATTTCCCTTCAGGAGCAGTTGTATCATCTACATAAGGAAGAGGTTGGATTATGTGATTCTGGGCCCAATGAGATCTTAGATCTAAAGTTGGAATGGACCTTAGAGGTCATCAACGTCAGCCCCTTTGTTGTGGTTTCATAATGTGTTGTGGTAGAACCGTCTCAAAGAACTCAGAGTCAGACTACCTCTAATCCAAGTAT